GGCTGGAAGCCGTGACCCCAGGGTTGGCCAGCGCGGCCCTCCTGGCTGCACCCTAACTCTGAGCCACAACTTATTGGGGAGTGGGAGGTGGCCCCGCAGTGGGCCTTGTTCTGTTCCCGGGAAGGTCCTCCTGGGCTGTGGCAGAGACTCTTGTGGTGCCGAGCCCGGAGCCCTGACCCAAGGGCAGCCCTGTTCACCGTGCCTGTGTGTCTGTGTCTGCACCTGTGCGTCTCTGTGCCTGTCTGCACTGGTATGTCTGTGTGGCTGTGTCTGCACCTGTGCGTCTCTGTGCCTGTCTGCACTGGTATGTCTGTGTGTGACTGCGCCTGTGCCTGTTCGTGTGCACGTTACAGGACGAAGCCTTCGCCCTGTGGGTGAAGCAGTGGGGCAAGCTGTACGACGAGGAGTCCCCGTCCCGTATGATCATCCAATACATCCACGACAACTACTTCCTCGTCAACCTGGTAGACAACGAGTTTCCGCTGGACAACTGCCTGTGGCAGGTGGTGGAAGACACTTTTGAACTTCTCAACAGACCCGGAGCGAGAGCGGACAGGCTCCGTGACCCTGCACCCTGACATCCTGAGGCTCCTACACTCCCTCACATACAACGGCGGCCGCACTGGTGTGAGGCTCCAGGCTCGGCTGGACCTGAGTCAGCCCCACGTGGGACCTGGTGTTCCCTGCTCGGCCAGGAGATTTTGCTCTTTTGCAGGGAGCACCTCCATCCCGCCCAGGACCACGGTGGGTGGACCACCATCCTCCCTGAGAAGGGGAGGAGACTGGTTATGGCTGACGGGGCCCTGGCACCAGGCAGCCTCTCAGAGCCAGCCTGAGACTGCCGGTGACCATGCACTTGGGGCTATGGAAGACGGGCAGCAGGCACGCGTGGCATTGCCGATAGCTGTGGCAGAGTGAAGATGCTGCTCCCTTCTGCCTCCGAGACGTTGGCAGCTGGGCACTTCCTACTTGTAACTGAAGGGCAGACACTACCCTTGGCACCAGGCCCCCGGATGGGTCTGGGGCTGAACCCTAATAATACAAGCCGCCTCCTCCCTGGGGCCCGCTGGGCTTCACCTCCGCCATGCTGCTTTAGGGAGCAGTTGTCTCTGTTCTGGTGGCGCCAGGGATAAAGTCCCTCTTACGGGCTCTGTACCTGGTGGAGCCCCGCCTTCCCTTTTCTCGGCTGCCTGTTACCACCGAGGGCAAAGGCGAGGTCACATGAGGTCACTCGAGCAGGGCTTCTGTTTTCCTGGCTTAGTTTTCGGGCAGGACCTCCTCCTGCCAGCTGCTCCGCCCTCTGTGCATCCGGAATCTGCCTGCCTGGCACTGCTGCCCAGGAATCGGCCCTCAAGCTGTGCTGCCCAGGGTGGTGACTGGCAGGTGCACGTGGGCTCTTTTCTGTCCCCGTCCCTGCCTGACCTTAAGGGGGTGGGGGTGGGGGGCGGCCAAAGAGCAGCCTGTGGGCACATCCCCTCCACGTCCGTCCAGGTTGCTGGGAGCCAGAGAAGCAGCTGGGACCAAGGAGGGCAGTTTATTGGCATTCAGAGCTCCCGGGGCTCTTCGATGGGCTGAGCGCCCCGCGGCCTGCCAGTCTGCACTCCCTGGAAGGGGGTGGGGGTACAGTTCCTCCCTGGGAAGGCTGGGCTCCATTCTGATTTTCTTTCCATGGCAACAAGTCCTGGTGCAGTGGGCCCCTGCTCCACCTCGAGTCCGCCACACGCAGGGGTTGCTCCCTGGGCTCGATGCCCACCTTACTCTTGGGGGTCAAGCTGCTGGTGGCTCCTCCTCAGGCCCCTGGCTGCCAGCTTCTGGTGCCACTTCTCAAAGGCCTGGAACCGGAGGGGAAGGAGAGGTTCTCCAGCTCCCTCCCGGCCCGTGCTGTTTGTGCCCAGCACCTCGGTCCCTGGGGAATAGAGGTCCCTCCCTCTGCCCTAGGTGGGCAGGCAGCCGACCCTGCCCGGCCAAATGCAGAGGCTCAGAATAAAACAGACCTGTGACCTGGAAGCTATGCTCAGAGCACATACGGGGAGTGCCGGGCAGGACCGGGCTGGGCACAGGGCTGCCAGCTATATCCAGGGCTCCCGAATCCAAGCTGTTTTCTCTACCCACACTGACCCTCCTCTGCAAATGAAGGGGCCCAGGGGTGGCACGCAGGGAGGGCCTGCAGCTCAGAGGCGCTGGCTTTTGAAGGGCCTGCTGGGGGCTGGGGCTGCCCTGCCAGTACCTGAGAAAGGACCCAGCCCTCAGCTTGTTGCTGTAATCGCCAAGCCACCCGCAGCTGCACGACCCGCCGCCGCCACGTGCGCCAGACCCATCTCAGCTGCCACTGCCTGAGCTGTGGGGACAGGGGGCGGAGGCCCCACACTGGGCAACTGCTGCCTCGGGCACCTGTGCTCGCCGCAGCCCCCAGCCCCTCTGTGGCACCAGGACAAGGGTGCCACACACCATGAGGTGTGTCAACAATGCAGATTCCCGGGCCTGTCCTAGGTTTCAGACTGAGTAGGTCCAAAGGCCATACTTGGAAAGACTTCATTGTAGGGGTTAGGGTTGAGAATAGCATGAGGAACTGGTGTGAGGCTGGTGAGAGGGCCCCTCCCCACTCACCAGCGACCGCGCCAGCTCCTCTGCCCCCTGAGCATCCACCCAGCATTGCCATGTCCCTGCCAGGCGCCTGGCCTGCTGGGAGCCCTGGAGCCGGCGGAGCAGGGCCTCCAGGTGCCAGCGTCGCAGGTATTTCCTCCTGGGGAGAGAGGCCCTGTGTGATTCCCGACTGACCGTCAAGAGCATCATGACCCCTTGACGGCCAGGAGACAGGGCTGAGCCGTGGGCTGGGCCAGCTCCTCCAGGAGCCTGCAGGGGCGAGCGCTGGCCAGAGAGGCCCAGCCCTGGCCACAGCTCAGGCCCCTCCGCCCTGGGCCCCCTCCCCGCCCACTTCTCCATGCAGTTGCTTACCCCAGCCGCCTCTTGTCCACCTGGCCTTCAGAGCTGCAGTCCCCTCCGGGCCCTGGAGGGGGCCGGCCCTGGGCCCTGGGTCCAGGCCTCTGCATCCAGAGCTGGGCAGCACTGCCACCTGGAAAGGGGAATCGAGTCAGAAAAGGCCAACATTCAGGAGGACCAACTCCCCCTTAGTCCACCCCCAGAAGCTGAGCACACGAACAGGGGTGAGCGGCAAAAGGGGCTGAGTGAAGCGTGTGCCCCACGCCCACCCATACCTCCAGGCCCAATAGAAGTAACAGGTGGGGCAGGCAGGGTGGATGTACTGTTTTCTGAAAATGGCTGAGATATTCCTGAATAGGAAATGGATGGTGGAAATACAGGTAAATACATACAATGGATTTGCCCAGGAGCTCGGAGCTCATTTCCGGGCCCTTAAGGGCCGGTGGCCAGTCACCCCTGCACTTCGTATATCGTCCTTCCACAGGGGCAGGTCTCCTTACTCTGAGCCCAGGACGTTTCTCTCCGCTTCCTCTGCCCACCGGGGCTGCAACGTTGTGCTGGGCTGGGCAGCCTGGGCCCCGTGCCCTGTGGCCTGCAGCTGCAGGTCTATGAGAACAGCCAGAGAGGAAAACCTGAACCCAATGGGCTTGGCCCTGCTCTGACCCGGTTTTGGGGCCTCCCTACTTGTGTGAGCACACGTGGGCTCGTTCATGGGACTGCACATTCTCCCGTGAACCCTGCGGCTCCCAGAGGAGACGGAGAAGGTGCCCAAGCGTAGTATGGGCATCAGCACACACCACTGCCTTTTCCCCCGTCCTCCCATGTGGCTGGAGGCGCAAGCAGCGGGTGGATCAATAATAGCTACCACCGGTGAGAGCTTCCCTGCGCCAGGTACAGCCTGTGAGGCGGGTATTACTCTCCCACTAAGTGAAGTCACTTGTCTGAGGCCACCCCTCTCAGGAGCCCCCAGCTACTGTTCCTACAGACCCCAGGCTCCCTCAGGGGCCCAGTGCCACCAGGAGATGGCATCATCCCCGCTCATGATGTTGGGTGAGGGTTGCCTGGGCGTGTGTGTGCATGTGGGAGAAAGGAGGGGCCTGGAATTCAGCACCCCCGCTACCATGCCCAGCACTGACTTCTAGCTTCTACCAGCCTCAGTTTCTCCACCAGTAAGTGGATCCCTGCCTGCCTTTGCTGACAGCAATGGGCGAACGTGTTTATAAGCATACTCTGAAAACAGAATTGTCTTGTAGCACAGAACTAGGAATAAAATACCTCGAGCCCCCAGAATCTGCGGTGGCCGCAGCCCCACATAGAAGATGTGGACTCTGCGAGTATCCAACGCCAGTTCCTCTCCATTCCATTAAAAAAACCTCTTGCCCTTTCTTCTCAGACTCTCTGGAGTCTATTAGCTACTTCCCGGCGTTCTGACACAGGATTCCTGGTGATGCAGTCATCTCAGGACACTGTGGCCTTGCCGGTAACTCTGAGCTGTGCGTCCCGCAATGACACAGCCCTGGACGCCACATGGTGTCACTTCTCTGCCTGGCTTTCCTGGCAGCCTCTTCCCTCCCGCAGGCCCTCAAGCTTTTGCCACCGTTTGCTCATCTCAGAACTGACTGCTTCTGATTGGAGAAGGTCTGGCAGCTATCTTTGGGCAGAGAGTATCATGAAAGAAAACTTTTTCATTCACACTTTCTGATTTTTCTGTAATGAGCATGTTTCATTTTTCCATACGAAAAAGAACCACAAAGAATTGCTACTGTCCCCAGATGTGTGTCTTGATGCTACCTGCACCACGACATATATGACTTTGGGTGCCTAAGAGACGGTGACCCAGCGTTCGTCTTTGCAGCAGACCTGAGCTGGGCTGACACTCTGTGGGTGCCCAGGAGATGTTTGCTGATGGACCGGGGTAGGCTGTCTTCCAGAGCCAGGAGGCTGGCTAAGGGCCAGGGAGGGTGGTGTCCCCAAGGCTGCTGGCCCCTGGGGAGGCATCCGGCCACGCTTGCCACCACGGGCTGAAACAAGCCGATTCTGAAGCCACTGGCCTTCTGGTCATTTCTGAACCTCCTGCGTCACCTGGACCCCACCTCACCTGTTTCCATGGGGCTGCAGTGTCCATAAGCGCCAGGAGGCACCCTCTGCCGACCAGCCCGGGCCAGTGCGTGAGGTCGGCCCTGGGCCCGGGATGGGCGGTGCTCGTCTCCTGGGCCTCCATCCAAGGTTCCAACCACAGGCTGAGCAGCTCTGTCTGCCACTGGGCCCAGTGAGCCCGCAGGAGCTGCCTGTGCCCAACCACCTCGAACTGGGCAATGGCGACCCGCTGGACACGACCCTGGGCGGCAGATTGGGCCCAGGCCTCTAGGACCCTGCGGGGAGAGGAGGAGCCCATACCCAAGGCCTTCAGCGCCAGGCTTCATGGCAGCATAGGGAGCCCTCCCAGCCCTGGCCAGTGCCTATGGTAGGGGACCTCCAGGCAAGGCCCCGAGCCCTGCTCCTCTCCCCGCCCCCCCTCCCCCGGCCCTCCCGCTCTCCTGGAGCAAACAGGTTTAATTGGGCACAGAGAGCCGCAGAATATCGCACAACAGGGACAAGCATCCTGTTTAGAGGAAGAACAGTCCTGCCAGTTACGCTGCCTCCCCTGTCCTCACAAGAACCCGGGTCTATGGAGCACCTGCTATGTTGTGTCTGGCCCTGTCTGAATGTTTACATTCGTTATCTCTAATCTCTCCGCCACCCTGCAGAGCACTTCTGTTATCTTTCTTTGACCTTTAAAGGTAGACTTGCCCAAGAAGGGTCACACAGCTGGGGAGTGCAGAGCTGGGCTTTGGCCCAGGATGAGCTGCCATGACCAGAATCGCCTCTCCCTGGCAGCCCCAGCCTCCCAAGCCCTGGCACCAGCCACCAGACACCCTCTCCCCCGCCCCAAACAAACTCCAGGCCCCAGCCGGAAGCACAGTGAGGGGCTGCCCTCGGGCCCTGGGCATCCACCTGGCGCTCAGCTTCCGGGCAGCATGGGCTCGGCTGAGCCGGTGTAGGCGGGACTCATGCACCCACAGAGTCCAGCACAGGGCCAGCTGGGTCCTGGCCCGAGCTCTCCCTTCTGCCTGCTGGCGGGCCGCACAGCGCTGGCCCAGGGCCACTCGCC